TTTACAGACAAATAGACGATCAGTCTTCTTCTACACCCGTCTACAGGAAATCAAATCGTAAATGGGTTTTTTTAGGCCCAAAGCAGCTTATTTTTTTATATCAAGACCGACACGTTCGTGAACAATTCGTATCGTTTATATAGTAACTGTAAGAAGCTGTTTTGCAAAATTATCAATTAAAAACTTGATAGAGTAAGACCAAGTTTAGTCCCAGGGGAAGCCACGCCCTTCCTTGGAACCTCTCTTGTAGTGGGAACAACTGCTTAACATTCCAAACTAAAAATAGCTTATAGTTATAGCCGGAAACAATACTAATTTGCAAATCACAGGTGCGCAGCGCACGAGTTTAATTTATCAGCCGCGCCCACTATATTAATCGATCGTGACAATTCATTAAAACACTTGTTTTTTTATGGATTCAATAAATTATAATAGCTTGATAGACGCAATAAAATAAAATAATAATTGTTTCAGCTAGATGCTACTGTCTTAGGCAACTGACATTATACAATTTACCACATTATACATGTAAGTATCTCATAAATGACTTAACTGATATCGAGTACTATTCCTTTATTTGGAATATACCTGGATTAATCTCAAGGCATCAGGATATTTTTGATATGACAAGTCCGTGGTCATTTATTTTCCGTAATAGACAATTAGGCGATCAGCCTTTTATGCCTAACACAAGCGTATTAATTTCGCACATAGACAGAAAGCCCATTGGGGCACAGCCGGAGAACTAGGACCTCAGCTGAGAGTCGCGCGTTGAACTAGGCAAATACTGTTCGGCAAACATTCGTAATGTAGCACATATACTATGTAACACATATGCTATGTAGCACATATACTACATACATTATACAAATTATCCAACATAAATTTCACAATTCAGTTAAATAAAATTCTGTCACTATTCCGCGCAATAAATCGGTAGATAACATCAGTCACGTCCGAACCATCCTGATTTAGTGGTTTGCACTTTCAACACTTTTACTTAAAAACAAGTTGAATATGATATTTTAAATGCCTAGTCCACTTCCTGTATATCCGGCTTACAGCGCATTTAAGCCTGTTGTGTAGTAAGGAAGTACGATTTACAATCTAAGAAAAATTACGAAATTCTTATTAGAATTTCTTTGCACTGCTTTAAGACGTACTAGACTAAGGAATAATGTTCTTTCATTAATTATTAAGTAATGCCCAATGAAACTATTTTGTCAAATTATTTACACATTGTACGCAGACAGCCATTTAACGCACCTATACTTAAAAGTAGCAACATTTTTATTTTTATAGCAAATTAACTGGAAAACTGCATTTTAAATGCTACATGCATTGGTGTGCAGTGCTAATTCTAACATTCAACAGTACATTTGACGCCAAATCAACCAGGGTACGAATTCAAAAATCCATATTATTCAGTTCAGTTGCAAATACGCCTAGTGCTCATAATATAAAAAATAAATATACACACATGACCGCGAGTATGCTACTGAGAGCTGAGAACACTCACTGTCGAGGATATTGCAACAAGAAGTATTAGGGAAATAATTCCGAAGCTTCATCAGATCGCAACTGGAATAATTCTGCACTAAGATAGTGAAATGCGTCACGGCCCCCACTCGCCTATGAATATAAAATAAAGTCCCGCACCACAAGAGTCGGGGATATTGGGAAATTTATATTTAAAAAAAGTGTTGTAATTTGTCTAATCTCCAAAAGAATTACTACATATTATGTGGATGTACCTAGTTTATTATGTTTACATATGTATATCTTATTTTTTTATAATTCTCTTTGAGATCATTGCAAAGTGATTTCGGTGAAAGTGTTGATTTAACATTGATATACAGGGAAAAACGCAACATACGCAACTGTACACTTAGATTATCGCAACTAACTTTCCCCTCTGTGTTTTGAATGCAAAGTGCTGAGTCGACCACTTGTCACTTTGCTTTTTATATGTCAACGTATTTTTATAGTTTGTGAGTAGAGTTTAGTTTTTTGTTATGTAAGAGGACAAAGGAGCCTACAGAACAGCCATAAAAGGCACCTAAGAGGTCCTGCTAAATAGCTGAGCACGTACGAAAAGGTGAACCCCAAATCAAACATCCACCACATAGAAGCATCGTCCATGTCTCAGACAGATGCAAGCTGGACTAGGTCCTATATAGAGCTTTTCTTCATTCCCAACAAGAAAATCTAATCAATATACGATTTTGCATGTCTATAGTGATTTCGATTAAAGTCTTTTTAACTAGGATTAATTATCATTTGCATGTAAATTATACTAATACTATTATTATTTACAGATTATAATTTGGGTTTAAATAACAATTATTTAATGTGCCTATTAAAAGAAAAAAAAATAATAGGCAAGTAGGTAATTTTGTGCCTGTATAACCGATTTAAAAAGGCTATTAGTTTGAGCTGTATGTATGTAGTATTGTTGGAGTTGAATATATTTGAGTAAGATGATCTAGTTGGACTTTCAAATACGTGTGTTACATTTCAAGTGTTCTCGACAATTTCTCGAAATCCTAGTCACATCGAGATGGTCCTCCATCAAAATAGGTTTAGTAGTTTTTGAGATATGGTTACCAATTGTTTAATATAGGTTAATAATGTAAACATCGGTTTAATCACAATATAAATTATTTTGGACAGTTACCGTACAATCGAATTACAAAAGGCAAAACAATTTTTGACATTTAAGTTTGTCGACAATTTCTCGAAATCCTAGTCATATCGAGATGGTCCTCCATCAAAACAGGTTTAGTAGTTTTTGAGATATGGTTATCAATTGTATAATTGGTTAATAAATTGGTTTTTGAAGTGTTGTGAATATGTGTGAAATGGTGAATGTGGTAAATCAAAAAGGTTTTTTTTTTTTTTTACTTTTTTTAATATTTTTGTGGTTTATGACATTTTCCTTTGAATAATTGTAATGTAGAGGGAGGGTAAAACTTGCTGAGTTTCTCGCCCGTTCTTCTCAGAACAAGGCCTCCTGGTAGTTTTGCGAACGGATGGCGTAGTCTTGCTCTTTCGCGAATTTTGTAAACGTTTTTGACATTCATAAGCATGCCCTAAGACGCATCTAAACTGAATAAACGTATTTTGATTTGATTGATTTGATTAAACGTCTGTTTACTTACAATATAAATTATTTTGGACAGTTTCCATACAATCGAATTACAAAAGGCATAACAATTTACAATAAATCAAGTTAAACCGTATTCTATCAAAATATGAAGACTAATAGTGGGAAACAATAACAATATTAATTGCCTAAAGAAAAATCGGAAGAGTTACATGTTTATAGCTAAGTTACGTTACCATTGTTCTGTAATCGAGACATCAGTGCGCATAGAAATTATGCAAGTTTATTGTTGAAGTATTTTAATAATGCTTGTCAAAAAATAACGCACATTATTCCTTGTACTCGTGTTATAGGGCTGTAGGTATAAATTATTTGAAATAAATGTGGTGAAGCAATAGAAATGATTTTCTATTCGCTATTTTATGTTCTAAAGTGATAATTATTCCTTAGTAAATTTAAAAATGGAAAACAGGCACATACGAGCCTCGTATTTGCTAATTATACTAGTACTATTATTTACAGATTATAATTTAGGTTTTTTTACAATTATTTAACGATATGTATTACAAGTTAATAATTATTAATGTTTTATAGGCAAGTAGCTAATTTTGTGCTTGACACACTGTATGTATAACCGACTTTTAAAGGTTTATTAGTCATAGCCTAATCAGGGCCATTTCATTTGAAGGAATTTCACATTCCTTCTTACGTTTTTAGCTTCTTCAAGACAAGTCAAGTCAAATCATTTATTTCAATTAGACCACCCAAAATAGCACTTTTGAACGTCAAATGAAATATAAAGATGATTCTAGTTGCCCCTTCGAAAAGCTAGTTTCGCGTGGAGAAGAATTGGCATCAAACTCCACATTTACCCTTTTAAAATAGGTTTACAATATTTTGCATACAATTTGTTAAATAATTATATGTGAAGATTATTTCACTTCATTACATAGCGCCGCGCAGCACAGCGCCTAAGGACTAGTGTCGGTGAAGACATATCCGTTAGTATATTTTACTAGCGAATACACGAGATGTTTTTTTTTTAAATTTAAAAGTAAATATAGTATGTGACTATGGCATGTAGCGTTTCGTGAACATTAGTTTGTTGTAGTTTGATGTCGGTGTGGAGTTTATTCGTTACATACAAACTATACATACATTATAAGATATCGCTCACACCTTTCTTGTACTAATTGGATCAATCAGACTTCATTGTCAACTAAACCTTGATCCATTTATTAGACATTCAGATGTGTTATTAAACATTGCAACTACAAATTACTATAGACTTTGTGATATGTTGTTGTGAAATCACATATTAGCTTCGTGAATTTGAATTAGTATCCTCAGCTTATCTCAGTGCATTATGGATGATGACCCATAATTATCTTTATTTGGTCAGACCAACGGGTAGGCTATTGACCCCGACTTAATATCTATAAAAAAATACCCTTTGCTCACTTTGACCTTCTCGTAAAGACCAACTGGTTCCAACTATATCCAGACTAAAATTACATCAATCAGAGTATATAATAATTCCGGTATATAATAAATTACCGGAAAATTTAAAGAATGAAACAAATTAATGTTAATCAAATTGTTAAAGGATTTTTTTATATAAGAAATGTTGTTACACCGTTACAGAGTGTCTGACTGATAGATTTTAATTTCTTTAAGTTTATTAATAATAATGTTAAGCACATACTCTATTGTCGCAACGTGAATCATAAGGAAATATAATAAATAAATAATAATATAATTGTCAATTGGAATGTCATTTAAAAAAAGTGTAGGCCGCTTCTCGAGACATGCCTCACTTACGATATCATACGCCGGTCCCTTGCCTCTGTCAAAGTGCCAAGTCTACTTGAGCCGACTGGAATTGCAAGAGACGATGGTAAGAGACCAGACGGTATGAGTTTGATTCCATGGAAGATGGGCCGGGTGGTGGTATGGGATGCAACCCGTACAGACACACTGGCCCCATCTATATGAAACCAACAACAGAGATGGTGCGGCTTGTGACGCGGCTGAAAAAGCTAAAGCATGCAAATACAGGGGTCTAGGCTCCGTATATAATTTTGTCCCATTGTCGAGTCCCTTGGTCCGTGTGGTCCTAGCGCTATACGGCTTTTTAAGGAAATAGCAAAAAGGTTAGTCGACATAACAGGAGACCGAAGAGCTGGCACCTGAGACAAAGAATTTGTCTAGCTATTCAAAGGGGGAAAGCTGCCCGTATCTTCGGAACCTTGCCTAAAGGGCTATATTTAATAATATATTATAGTTACTATATTTTAAGGTTAGTTATTTTTTTTTATAAATAAATACTTCTACTTATAAGATTAAAAATGTATAATAATATAATTAAGTATAATAAAGCATCTCACAACATAGCGGTGCCTAATCAAGGTCCTTATTGTAACAAAATTTATAACATGTCACCTGTAAAGTATGAACATAAGGAATGCAATAAAGATTTGACTTTGACTTCTGCCATCCGTCCTTCCTACAAATACCATCTTGTCAAGACTATTCGGTTTCCAATTAAAACATAAAGAAAACAAATTTAAACATCGAATTATTAGCGTTATTTTCCTTCCAGATAGAGCAGTGTTGGCCTAGTGGCTTCAGCGTGCGACTCTCATCCCTGAGGTTGTAGGTTCGATCCCCGGCTGTGCACCAATAAACTTTCTTTCTATGTGCGCATTTAAGATTCGCTCGAACGGTGAAGGAAATCATCGTGAGGAAACCGACATGTCTTAGACCGAAAAAGTCGACGGCGTGTGTCTGGCACTGCAGACTGATCACCTACTTGCCTATTTGATTGAAAAATGATCATGAAACTCATTCAGAAATCTGAGGCCCAGACCTAAAGAGTATTTATTTATTTTATGTTTTCCTTCCAGATAATATGGGCAGCTAGCGGCGGTGATGGCTACAACTGTCCATATGGACAAAATTGCGGATTCGAGCCCTCGCCGCCTGGTCGTTCACCACCCTGTGCTCAACCAGGCCTCACGTTTTGCCTCCATCCAGACCAATATCCCGAGTAAGGTTACTTATGATACAGGCTAATTTTTGCACAGTAAAAAAATCCAATGGCGCTAAGATATCCATAGATATTGTATCTGTTTCGCGATAAGCTTTTTCTTTACAAGTAGAACATGTCATGTCTCTAATTAAATATGCAAGGGAAGAAAATTCCACTCGATTTCAAAGATGCAAGCTGCTTGGAAAATTTTCCTTTCCTTGTAATCCTAGAGTTACTAGAACTTAAAGTCTTTTATATGTACCTACGGCTCGCTTTTCTGCTACTTTTTATGCTCCAGTGAAAAGGCTATCTCGCTCTTATAACTTACTAACATTAATGAAAATATTTCACAACCATCTTTATCATTGTAATTTTGTGTATCATGATCTAAATGAGGTTTAAGTTTCTATTTAGTTTATTACTGTTTGGTCCTTGCTTGTTTGAAATGTATAAATAAATAATTAAACACTGTTTTTACAATACTCATAAATACTCGTGCTACTTTTCGTACTGGAGGAACTAATGTATGATACCTGTATCACCTTGACGTTCATCGTTCCACAACTGAGCGTTTATAAAGGCAGTTTTTGCCGTGCACCACCACTATGTGGAACCAGCTGCACATTAAAGTGTTTCTGAACCAATTCGACTTTCAAGAAAAAAGCGTACCAATTCTTAAAAGGCCGGCAACGCAATTGCAAGCCTTCTGGCATTGAGAGTGTCCATATCACTTCAAGATACTGACGGCCAACCTCCAGTAATGGAGAGGCACTAGAAGAAGAAGATATCACTTAACGTCAGATGAGCCTCCTGCCCGTTTGCCCCCAAATCTATAAAAAAGGTGTAAAAAAATTGTTGTTTTCCATGTCACTATTACACACACCAATATCTTATTATACTTATTATAGCTTACGCGACTGCACACATATAAAATTTTTTTAACAGAAACATATGCTCGTCTCTTGCTAATCACTTCTGTATACGTTTATTGGAGGGGTTTTATTCAATCTATAATGAAATTTAATGCGATTTCCAGGCATGTAATCCGCAAGCTGGTACATGCTGGACAGTATGATATACGGACTCTTCTGTCTGATGAAAGTCGGGATGATTTCGAAGCGGTGAAGAAGGACGCCTATCCTTACGGCTATGGCCCAAACTCCTTGCCCCACGTGGACCAAATATCGTTGGTTAATGATGGTGCTAATTATCATAAGGATTACAATACCAAGTTTCAAGCAAGGTTTAATCAAGGTATTTATTTATTTTTCAATAAAGAAACTATTGTATTGTTATTTGATTTTTTTAATTTTATTTAATTATTATATATTATTTTCAACAATTACTTCAATTAGTATTTTTGTGTCCCGAAAGCACAAGACACAGACACATACACCTGATTCAATTAATTTTTTTTTACTTTTTACTTTACAATTACAAAAAAATATTCACCACAACTCCGTAGTATCCCATAAAATCAAATGGCTGGATCAAATGAACAACACAGACTTTTGATTCTAATTAGTCGGAGTAAATATGTAGTAAAATACCACTGAAATATTTTAAACCGGTAATATTAAAAAATAAAAATGTGTTTATGAATTATTAGTACTTATGCATTACAATGTGTAAGATTTGGGAACCCTTTTAAGTAATGAAATACCTGTATCAGAGTTCCCAGCTCCTCCATTACAAACTTAATTATAAATTCCTTAAAATATATAGATATATATGCAAATTAATTACATCTTTTGTTTTATTTATTTATTCTTAAGTAAAATCATACAATTTTCCAGATATATACGCGGCAAAGACTCCCTTGCAACCGCCAACATCAATCGAACCAACTCCATACAACATCAAAGCTTTTCAGGCGACGAACTTTTCCAAATTCGGTTTCCAAGGTTACCAAAGCTCTCCTAGTTATTGGAACCCAATAAACGAGAAGAGCTTGAAACAGAACAGTGTGACTCCAAACCTTGGGGTCTATAACCCGAATTATTTTAACCCAAACTTTTATCAAAACTACGAAAACGATTGGTTGAGACAAGCGTCGTCTGGAGTGACCGAGTACAATCCTAGTGAATGGTGGAAGTAAGTTTTTTTAATTGTCTTTAGTTACCACCAGTACCAAATCCACCATTAAAATATAATAAACAACCTTTTAGGTCTGAGGTTCAGATATTTGTATCTGTTTCATGATCATTTGTCAATTTAATAGGCAAGTAGGTGATCCGCCTCCTGTGTGTGAACTCACGATGTTTTCCTTCACCGTTCGAGCCATTGTTAAATGCGCACATAGAAAGTCCATTGGTGCACAGCCGGGGATCGAACCTACGACCTCAGTGATGAAAATCGTACTCTGAATCCGCTAGGCACTAACGAATATTACTAGGCATTTTAGTACTTTTTAGCACTGATTAGCGACTGTTATGATAATTGTTAATGATTCAAACGGATCACGAGCTCCAAATAAAGCTTATTAAATAATTGCATATAGTAATAGTTCAATTACATTTATTTCTGTTTCCGTACTCTTACTACGACATAACTACCAAATATATCACATATTTTGTCAGACTAGCACGAAAATTTAGCAATCGATTTTCAGTTTCTTCGAACGAATCTATAATTAATTAAAATAATAGTTTGTAACTTTGCTAACACTGATTTTAATAATAAAAGATATCTGTAAATATTTTGACAATACTAAAAGCATCGCGTCAAAACTGTTACTGCTCTTAGATAAAAATAATAGTAATTTGTAATTCCGTATATTTCAGATACATCTCACCATCTCAATCAAGCGATGTTACGATTCAGAGATCTATATCATTTCCGACACACCCTGCGGGGCACGGTCGGCGTAGGCGCAACGCGGAATTGGTGCAGGCATCTGCAAAAGGACCTTTGACAGGCGCAGAAGCGCTCAGAATAGCTTTGGGACTTGCCAGGTTAATATTTCTGACTAAATTATTTCTTATATCATAGAAAATGGATCAACGAGCAATATCATACGAGACTAAATTTGAATAGTTAACACTACAAAAGTAAAAATAACTTTGTATGGTGTACTTTCTGCTTTGTGGGCGTCTTAAGAACTAAATTACACCTAAATTCAATACCAATTACAGAGGGAACAGCTTTATGGTTAGGGCGGCGGGTTAGTTAACAATTTAACTGTTGATTCTGACCTGTTCGCTCCAAGCGTGGTGTCGGCAAGGAGAGCTCTGAGTTCTTCAGTGGAATAAATAGTGTATCATAAGTTTTTATAAGTGTATAAGTTCTCTTTAAGTGTTCCTCAACTAATTTTAGTTAGTTTATTGCTGTCTTTGATAGATATAGATAGTTTAATTAAAATGGTTTTATTGTTACTAATCCATTTACTTTTTAAGTACTTAATTGTATGTAAAGATTTGTGTATTGGCGTAAAAAGAAATTTATAAATATAGTTAAATATTGAATGAGAAAGTTAGTTACAAGCTGTAATTCTTTATCAATAAATTAAAAAAAAATCATTTTTAACAAAACAAATGAATATAGAAATACTATTGGTATAGTTTGCTACACGAATTCTTTTTTAAACAATTCTCGCGCTTTTGTTTAGTTCTAAATAAACTCAGTAAAAGAGATGGCTATTTTTAAATTGTACTGCGACTTAAATATAATAAATAAAAAATATATTTATAACATAATGTGTAAAATTTGGTAAACATTTTAAGTAAATAATAGCTGTGTGATCCCAGCTCTTCTATAACAAACATAATAAATAGTTAATTTCATAACATTTTTTTAAATGTTTAACAACACATGAATACATGACTGTGTGTGTGTATGTGAGTCAATGAGTGAATGTAATGTGTAACTTCAAGTTAGGTCTCAGGAGCAACTCCAACTCTGCGTGGTGAGTTCATAAGCCATTTAACTTAGGGTCCAAGAAAAGGGTGTACCAATTCTTGATAGACCGGCAACGCACTTGCGAGCCTTCTGGCAACTTTGTGAATTTCCACGGGCGAAGGTATCACTTAACATCAGATAAGCCTCCTGCTCGTTTGGCTCCTATTACATAAACAAAATTGTGGACGGTGAGCGGGTAGATATTAAGCAGACTATTTAATTTATTAAAGATTTAGTCTGCCTTCTTTGTGTCTGGCAAAGTCAGTCCTTACTGTCCGACCGACGACAACATCACTATTTCTTTTTAGATATAGTCTACGATCTTAGGGAAGGGCTCAATGTTCTTTTAAATTACAAAAGAGTCCATAATTATTGCTCCGTTAATTTGTATTTTCAGTGAAGACCCGTCAGCTGAACGTCCAAGACGTCAAGCGGCCAATACCATCAACCTATGCCAAGTGAGGACCCGGTATGTTCAGCCGCAGGCAGCTCAAAACAACAAAGGCAACTGGCGCTATGTTGTCAACATGGCGGACAATATGACACAGCTTGTGCGAGTAGAAACGTGCGCGTAAGTCACAGCTTACATAATTTACTGCAAAACGTACAGCTTTTATTAATTATAATTTAAATACACTTTAACATTACAAATAACACTTTAAGCTTACTTTACTTTTAATCACAATATTAACCACACATGATATAGACTCAAATCGGTCCAACGTCTCATCACTCATCTACCCTGCGTTCCCTGAACGCACTGTTTAAAGTCAAGATGGCGTCTTATCGTAACAATATTCGTACTAGTATACGTTAAGTAATGATTTTAAATTATAAAAAAATCTAATCAAAATAAATTATGATTCTTAAAAGTAATAGAATAAATCTCAATTATTAATATTATGTTTGGTTTATTATTACAACTGAATACCACGGTTATAATTCCTGCTTTTTAACGCCAAGTAGCTGTACTAACTGTTTTCTGTGATAAAATTCCCGTTCCTATTTGATGTCGCTTCTTTCTATTTTTAATGTTGAATATCTTAATTTATAAATAAGCTATGAACTATATTATATTAATAACTACTATTGTAAATAAGTTTGCAAAAAACTTAAGTGGAAATGGGCGGGCCATACCGCTCGAATGAATAATGGCAGATGGACAAAAAGGGTAACAAAGTGGAAAGGGCCACCAGGAAAAAGAAAGCGTGGTCGCCCTCTTGCACGGTGGGCCGACGAGCTTAAGAAAGTTGGTGGAGAGGATTGGGAGAAAAATGCTCAAAACAGAGAGAGATGGAGTCAACTGGAGGAGGCCTATACTCAATAAGAGGTCCTTGGAAAAACAAAATGTATATATATATATGTATGTATTTTATGTGTGTGTGTATATTTTGTAACTTTTTGTAAATATTATTATGTAAATTTTTCAAGGAATAAATGAGGCTTAAATTATTATTATTATTATTATTATTATTGTAAATATGTAAAAGCATTATAATTTATTATAGCGCCATCTAGGTATTATTAAGTGAAGCTCGTTGTTAAACTTGAACCTTAAAGGTATAAAACTTTTACTGAACTACTGGTTTCTTCAAGTTACTACTAAATACCATCTAAAATTGATTTTTATTTGTTTTTATATTTTTCCAGGTCCTCTGAATGTAGTGGATTATGCAGCATTCCTCGTGGGTACTCATCTCGATGCGAACAAAAGTACATTCAAAAACGTTTAGTAGCCCTACAGCCGAGTGGAGAAACACTCTATACAGATGTATTTTGGATTCCTAGCTGTTGCCAATGTACGATCATTAATAATAATTAAATTATGTTTGCGCTACTTGTGAGGGTTATACCGTTGATGCTACTCGACGATAGATGGCGTATTATTTAAAAAGCTCTCTTGTGTGTGATTTTTCAATGTGTTCCTTATTTAAAATTACATCATTTATATAACAAAAATGTGTTGAAGTTTAAGTTAAAATTTTGAGTTATGTGAGTAAAAGTATTTAAAGAAGTATTATTAAAATACAATGTAATTAGTAATACCTATAGCTTTCTATTTCTTGAATATTAATAGCTTTTATAGAATATAGAAATAATAATCACAGTGAAAACTTTTAAATTTGTAATATTATTAATACACATACTATCCAAACAATAGTTGTAAATATATCGAAAACATAATTAAAAAATTGTAATTTTGGACAGTTTGTCTACAATTATATAAAAATACTTAGGCGCCATAAATAGTTCAGATGTATAAAAAAATAAAATAAGGATATAATTACGTTTTTGATCTCTCAGAACTATTCTGAGCATTAATAAACTTGACTTGCATTTATGTGCAATAATATTTTGTAAATAGATATTATAAATAAATGGAAATTACATTTATTGTTTTATTTACTGCTTTCTTCTCCCAAAAATCTAGATCCACAATAAAATTACTAAAGGTATCACAAGATATACCACTAATCCAAAAATATTACCTTCTCTTATATGTCTTACTATGAATCGTGAACTAGACTCTACCGTAAAAGTTTATTTTTGCGTGGAAATGTAATGTTGATAAATGCAGAATAATGATCTCCGAAAAGACAAGCCAATTCAATATATTTATTTGATACATAAATCTGAAGATGTGGTCACTACAAGATGTTAAGTTAGCTAACTACATAATAACTTAAGACAAAAGGTTCCTTACGTAGGGACTGAACTAACAGACTTAGTATTACATGGAACTGACAACTGTTTACGGTAGAAGAACTGAGTTGCGAAGATTTTATACAAGTTATATTTTGATGGCATACTTTTTTACGTTCATTTATTATTATCTATTACATTTATCGACACACATTGACATGTATATTGGTGTGCTTTGGGCAACGGTATTAATTTATAGTACAAATAGGATTGAAATGCGTGATGGATTTGAGAGGGTGTAGGAGTAATTCATACATTTGTTCACCTCGGAAGCGTCGTGTCTGAAATTGGAGGTACAGAATCACATTACTTTACGCAGGCCCGAGCAACCTTCGCACAACTTCAGCCTGTATGGCAGTCATGGATGTTGACGCGTCGAATCAAGGTTAAAATCTTCGGATCCAACGTTAAATCTGTGCTTCTCTATGGGTGTGAAACGTCAGTCGACGTCGGAAGGTCACTAAAGACATCTCGCGCCGACTTCAACTCTTCTTCAACCGTTGTCTCCGCCATATTCTGGGTATCTACTTGCCCGAGAAGATCTCTAACGAGCGAGTTTGGGAGCGGAGACCCCGATTAGCCAGCAGATCAAGCGAGGCAAATGGAAATGGATATGCCATACACTCCGAAGAGATTCCACTCATATCACCAAGCAGGTGCTTGATTGGAATCCGCAAGAAAATCGTAATTGTGTCGTAAGCGTATAATCGTCCTAAGCATCTCTGGCGTCGAATAGCAGATGAGGCAAAGAAAGCCGGATAAACTTGGTGAAAGGTGAAATAAGAGGCTCAAGACCGCGATGGAGACTCCCTGTGGATGCCCTCTGCCCCATCTAGAGGTTATAGAAAATTAAGTGAAGACAAATAGGAGACTCAATAAAGTGATAGGCCGATGACACTCGCATTGGCGAAGATTGCGAGTCATTGCTGGCCTTTCGAGAATTGGTACGGTCGCTGTCGACTTGGTACGGAAATACATGGTCGGACAAATTCATTAGCGATAGGATTATTAATTATATAATCATTTATGAATTCTTAGAATAAATACAAAAATAAATATCAAAATATAAAAACTCTTACTTTTGGACTAGGTGATCATACTCCTGTCCTCGTCCCGTTTTTTTTTTCTTTTCATACCGCACGAGCAAGTGTTATTTGGGAGTAGGTACATAAACAATAAGTCGTTGGTCGACAGCCGTGCTTTAAAAGCACTACCTTAATGTTGGGAGTCGCGCGTCTGGCCACTGGGCCAACACTATTAATTATTCATAAAAACGTCAACGTCATATTACTTAATTAACTAAAGTACTCATTTGACGCTTTCTGAGTCGTATTAAAAGTCTGATATTTGAGTTTAAATTCAATAACAACCCTAATGAGAGTTGATATGAGGCAAAAATAACGAATTTCTTTTAACGTCCAAAAGGTCTTGAAAATAGCATATTTTCCTGGATCAAGTTAACGGCTCGGTTAAGGGTTGAAAATCGGTCCAACTGCGAGGGTTCGTTTTCCCGGGGTTAGGCCTACCTTAACAAGTTTTCTCTTACGCGTTACTTTTATTTACAAATAAAATCTATTTAGCGCATTTTACAGAACAGTAGGGAATAATTTCACAGCTAAAGTATTTTTTTTTTTGGTAAAAATAAACTCCAATGGCATAATCAATTTAATATTTCGTATTTCTGATATTTTTTTTTATTGAATGTCCTTGGATGTTGTTTAAAATACCTAATGGATACGTAGAATTGTGTCTAGTAAACTGACCTACCAAAACTAATGAATTATAATAATATCCCCAAAAAATCATTGACATGAACTTGAACAAACGTGTTTCATGTTCTGATTCGTGAGGGAATTTACAACACGCGTTATTCTAAGGCATGAAAATAATCACTTAAAACTGAAAGTAAATAGTGGCTTGTTTGTAAAACAAAAGAATTATTCTCTGTACAAGTAACAATGAACTTGAAAGCAGTTGGGTGAAGCGCCAAAACTCTCGCTTCAAAAATAAAAATTGAAGCAAAAAGCTTGACACGCGTAAAAGAGGAAGCAGGGAAAAAATCAATGCTTGCGTTTTATGTTCTGTGCGTGTGACAGATCGGTCGTCATGACGACCACGACGGGGGAAATAATAGGCGCGAAAGAGGGTCCTAAGCGCTCGGGGTGAAACCAAAATGGCGGTGCGCTGTCTATTCATAGAGTTGAAGACGCGTTCAGTTTCGTTTTACGGCTTTATGGATTTGAGACATAAAGTGCGTTGTATGAGAGAGATAGAGGATGGGGTAAGGTTGGTGATCGATATTACGCACTTTTGTAGCAATGAAATTGGCACGACATGATGCAAGAAAACGGTTTGCACGCGTTGCAACCTTTTTAATTTTTGATTTCGCTTACCGCGCGTTGGTTTTTGATATATTATAGCGGTAATTATGAATTTTAGGGGTCATACGTTCAGTTTTAGAACGATGTATGAATGAAGATATAATGAGTCGTAGTATTGCGTTTTAAAGGGATAAAATATTCTGTAAAAGTTTAAATACATTTGATGTTAAGTAGAAACCTGTACCAATTTTAAATGTAAAATTTATGTGTGTGAAAAGATTACGAAAGATGTAATATTTATTACTGTTACATTTCTAAAACTGTTGAATATGTAGGCCATAACGAAAATCGCTATTTAAAACTTTAATTCAACTAATTAATAACAAAAAAACAATAACTTGCCTTAAAATATCATATCTAAAATATATGATTAAAAGGAGTCCCTTTAGGCAAGGTTCCGAAGATACTGGCAGCGTTCCCCCTTAGAATAGCTAGACTAATTCTTTGTCCGAGGAAGCTGCCAGCTCTTCGGTCTCCTGTGATGTCGACTAACCTTTTTGCTATTACCTTAAAAAGCCTTATAGCGCTAGGACCCCACGGACCAAGGGTCTCGACACCGAATGGGATTTACATGCTTTAATATATATCTAATATATATTTAATACAATGCTTTTGATGTTTTGTATGTGTAGATAATTAATTATATATAAAGCTATAATTTTCATACAAATAGCGAAATTATTCATTGACCAAAGAAATTTTTCCTTTTATAAATAGTGCCATAACGCGTACCAATATTATAAACCCAGCAATACCAAACCCATATAGCAAACCCATTATATAAGGCCACAAATTCCTAAATAATTATATTTAGCCAATACGAGCTTCTAATAAACAAATGTATTTCTCATTTTACCAGATATTGTTGTGCAAAATAAATGACGGATACAAAAACAAAGTGACTATAATAATAACAGATGGCAAGACTATGACGAATATGGGAAAAATAATGACGTTAGATGAAAAAATGAGTGTGCGGTAAAATTTTGATGAGTCATATCGGGAGCGGGAGAAAATCAATTCAATAAAATATTCAATTAAATTATAAGATTTCTTAATTATAAAATAGTATTGCTGCAACAGTTTTCTGTGTTTGTTTATTATTTTAGGGCCAGATTTTATATCTGGATGTGCCAGTTTCTTTCACTGTAGGACCTAATATTAATTGCAAACAAAAAAAAAATATATACTCCGTGTTAATTTATGTGAAAAATCTGTAAATTTTAAAAATGTGAAGAACCTTTGGTATTTGTTCTTTTAGCTATGTATCGATCAAAAATAAATTAATAAGTTACTTTAATCTAGTCTTTGTTAGGCATGTTATATTATTACTAATAGAACAGTCATTTGTATTCATTTTTTTATATAACAGAAGGCAAACGGGCAGGAGTCTCACCTGATTTTAAGTTATACTCTCGCCCCACTGCAAGAAGGCTCGCAAATGCGTAACAGCCTTGCGATTGTAACTCACTTTTCGAAGTCGCACAGCGTTTTTCGCAGCGGCGGTCGCGCCCAAATCAGTCGTGAAGCAGTCATTTTACGATTTGGCATTCTGATAAGGAGGGAGCTTGTAGTTTATTGTTTATCAGAATGCCAAATCGTAAAATGACTGCTTCACGACTGATTTGAGCGCGACAGCCGCTGCGAAAACCGCTGTTCCAGTTCGAAAAGTGAGTTACAGAATCGCAAGGCAGGTCTCTTAAGAATAATTGGTACGCTGTTTTCTTGAAGAAAAAGA